CGAGCAACTGCAGAATAGCCCTCCCTGGTGATGACCCCTTCTTTCCAATGGGTGTAAGCCTCCTTTTTAGCAAGGAGACATTCCTGGATGCTTTTGGTGAGCCATGGAGGCTTGTGTGCTCTCCTGCTCCCTTTGATCCTTGTTGGGATTACCTTCCTTTGGGCTTGGAGGATCATCTCCTTAAGGCGAAACCACTCTCCTTGGACACCTGGCTCCCCTCTCCTCCAGGACCTCAGCGCTTCTCCAACTATCCTCCTTAGCTACATAGAAGTCATAGTGGACCATAAGCTGAATATGAGACAGCAGTGTACTCTTATTGTGAAAATAGGATATTGGGCTAGAAGAATGCCTTACCAATCAAGGGAAGTGGTCTTAGCACTATTTTTGCCACTGGTGAGGCCACACATGGAGTACTGTGTCCAGTTTTGGGCCCCACACTTCAAGAAAGTTCTATACAAATTAGAAAGAACCCAGTGAAGAGCAACAAAAATTATTAGAAATATGGTAAGCATCACTTAGGAAGAAAGAGTGAAAGAAGTAGGATTATTTAGTCTAGAGAAGAGAAAGACTTAGTACAGCTCCCAGGACTTGTGGTCCCAGGCAGCTTAAAAGCTGGACAGACCTGCTTCTAATCATTAATGAAGGTATTAAAAAAATGCTGCGTCCAGGGTAGTTCCCCTTGAGAACTCCACTTGATACCTCCTCCAAATTAGACATGGAAACACTGATGCCTACATGATGATCCAGCCAGTTCTGTATCCACCTTATGGTACTTTCATTCCAAAGTGCTTATACACTGGGTGGGGGGAAGTAGTCCTTAGGGTTGCATTTTATGTCCCCTAAATTGAAACGGTGGGTTTTGAATTGAAACCCACCATTTGAATTTAGGGGATTCTGTCACTGTTATGTTGAGGGGCCTGATCCTTTTTTTTTTCTTCCCAGCAGAGCCTGCCCACCTCTCCTGTGGCCAGAAGTGAGCTAAACAATAGCTGCAATGCATCATTGCCAACTAAACTACATCAGGATGTAGTTTAGTTGGCAACAATGTAAACTCATTTAAACCCCCAAAACTCCTGCATATGTACAGCATGATGCCATTAAGCCACACAAAATGAAATTTTTGTCACATGTATATGGTAATGGCATAACGTGTACAAGTGCCCCACATCTGTACTTGCTTATTGTTAGACCCCGGCTCCATGCAGTGCCCAACGACTAGGGGGACGATGGTCCAATTGCTCATGGATCCTGTTACTCATTAGCCAGAGCAAGCAGGAGCAAACGCTACTTGCACACATTGCTCACAACAGCTTTATTCAGAATGGAGACAGCTTTGGACTGACTCCCAAAAAACCAACAAACTGGGGAACCACACTGAACATTAGTTCTTTTTACATTTTATACACCTTGGTTCATACCTATCCACCACTGTCCCTCTTTCTGTTCCACCCGTTTATCCTATCTCAAGCTCTGCCTCTGTTTATGGTTTACTTCATTAGCATGCAATTGCCTATGCATTTCATGCATTTACATGCCTCTCTGCTAAGAGCACATGTGCAAGACTTTGACCTCTGCTTCTCTCAGTCACTTACTGGTTCTTTCTGGTTTCTTGCTGACTCCTTCTTCATCTCCAAAGTCTTGCTTCTGCTTTATCTCCTGACAATAGCTGGTAGGCTGCATCTTGTTCTACTTACACAATGGGCTCTAACACTACGCCCTTGTTAGAAAACTGCTTCCCTAAGCATTTGCAAAGTTATTTTTAATATATCATTCTGCCTTGTGATCAGCAGCTTTTGCTGAGACACAGATTAAAGCCTTGTTCCAGCTGCAGATCCAATGCTCCCCAAAATCCATATATTATTATTACCCTAACACTTACCTTGTTAATGAGAACAGTGTGGTAGACATTGTCAAAAGCCTTGCTGAAATCAAGGTATATCAACCCTTGATCTCAATCCAGTACTCTCCCCCTATCTACAGAGCCTGTTACCTTGGCATAGAAGGAAATCAAGGTGGTCAGGCATGGCTTCCTCTTGATTAATGAACAATGAGCAGGTTTAGCTCCCTCATTGCTGCTACTCATTTACTTACTATAAGGAAAGATCATTTTTATTTCATTCTGCCTTTCAAAACCAAGGTGCATATTGTATTCTGGGTATGCATATATATGTATGCAATGTATGTGTTATATTCTCAGTATGTGCCTACCCCCATAGCCAACCCACAGAGCTGCTCTATCTGGTCCACTGGGCTTTGGACAGGCTAGGGAAGTTGGAGGTGTGATAGAATGGGGACATAGCCTACCACAGAATTCAGGTCTTTGTGCCCCAGTGGACGTGGCCCTTGTTGGTAGGAGATTGAATGAGGGCTGTGCTGGCACAGTCCACTTGCTCAGTGGCTACCTGTCCCATCACCACCACTGCAGCCAGCAGCCACTTGGCTCATGGCCACTTCTGTTACCACCTGCATCACTGCCTCATCACTGATGACACCCCATTTTCCACATTGGATCTGCCACTGCTCCATGCCTCACGCTGGATCCATAACTGCCAACCTATACCATGGGATGGATCTGACATCACCAGTCCTGCCACAGATATCCCATATCCTGAGCTGAATTTAGCCTGTGAGGAGTCTGGTGGTCCTCATCTGGCCCAGAGCACAGGGTAGGTTTGACACCCTTGGACTAACCAGTTTTACTGCAAAACAAAGACTTCAGTACATGTGTTCTCTTTTAACCAACTTATTCCAAATTAAAAACTCCGTGGGAAATACAATCCTAAATTACAATAAGGCTGTAAATGACTTAAATATGTGATAATGTATACTTAAATTTCACCATCTAGCCTTATCCTAAGTGCCTAGACACTGAATCAATAAGTGGTTACAGTGCTGAAACTGGAACATTTGTTACACTAGTTCAGTAGAGTACTGATTTATGAAGAAACTTTAAACAACCTAAAAAAGTGGCACTTACATCCTGGAAATTATTCATATAATATGATTTAGGATGTCACATAAAAGTGACAGCATTTTCTTTCAGGCAAAAGGAGCATACTAATGTTAAAATGTTGTGAGAATCATAAAATCTCTTTAGAAGATGAAGCTTATGGTTGT